CTTATTGTAATACTTTATTAACTGATTTTTTAGGATATGAGTACATTGTAATTGCGTTTAATACAAGAATGTACATATATGCGGAAACTTAAGTGATTCAAAAACCTATTAGCCAATAGAAAACCCGGTACATATCCATATTTAGAGTCTACTTACGTGGCGTTTGGTCAGGTGAGGGAACTACAAAAAATGAACACATGCTTTTTTTTCTAGTACATCTTTTAAGCTACACCATCAAATTACGAATATTAGCAATTGCTTGATATACTGTATCACATTAAATTTCAAGATTAAATTTCTTTGAATCATGCACAACTTCGCTTTATAAATGCCATATAAATTCAGAAATGAATTTCTTTATACCTGTATTACTTTCGTGTAGTAAAAAATTGGCTACTGCAGTTCCTTCGCTATTTTCTACCACACATGTATAACATCCCGCGTCGTCTAAATTTGTTTTGTAAATGTGTAATTTCTTTTTATTTTCCGAGAGCTGATAACGAGATTCTAAAAATAATTTGAAATTTGTAAGATCAATTGGACGTTGGAAAAGGAGAATGACAAGGAATTCAAATTGTTTTATTTGTTAACCAAAGGCTTGATTATCAAAAAACTGAAAATAACACATTACTTTATTTATGAGCAACGTATTTCTTTTTAAATTCCCATTTATATTAATTTTTCTAATTTTTATCCCTAACATTTGAGATAGTAAGCCAAAACAAGTGTATTAAAATATGGTCTATTGCATAAAAAAGTCTTACTGAATACACCGTCATACAATTAAACCTGTAATTGAAAATTGGGAGCTATATAGGCCTACCGATTCCATTAAGCTGTTTCTTTAAAAAATAAATCAAAAAATTTAAGGATCCTGATAATTAAGAGTTAGTGATATATTAAACTGATTTATTTTTTTCTATCAAAAATTATTCATTATTTTATTTATTTTAGATTTAATGTACACAAGGTACATGTATCTTCTGAAGCATTTATGGTATCCAGAGTTTAAGCAGAAATGGATTTATTAAAAGTATTTCCTTCAAAAAAGAAAAAAATCTGTCTTTGGTTGTGAGTAGACAAGACAAATGTAGCTAACAATAAATTCATTATATCCGAACAGACATTCCTAAGCAAGGCATATTCATGCAAAGGCTTTCCCAATGCTACAAATAAATTTGCCATTTGTCAATCTTTGGTCTCCATTACTTTTCAGTAAAACAATAGGTTCAGTGATTGATGCTAGTATATTTAGAGTTATAAAACATATGGACATTGCGAACAGTATTAAAGATCAAAGGTCCATAAAACAATTCAAAATAGGAGCAGAGCAAACACGGACCTCCGAAACATCAGAAGTGGAGTCAGGTGCTGACGGTCACACCCGCCGTGTGCTCCTTGTCATGTTCGGGAAATAACGGACACATCCGTCGTCAATTCAGTGTATGAAAAATGGCATAACAATAAGAACGAAAAACGTCAGTCAGCATTTGACTCGATAATAAATTGTATATGCTAACAAGGTCATTGTATCGACCACAGAACTTACGAAATGATGACGAAACAGCGGAAATTCTTGTTTCATCAACTTGTTTGTCAATGATTTATCTCGTTCTAGAAATTGTTCATACGTAGAACATGCTCAATAAAATACCTTTATTTAATTTCTTTCCATTTTTCATCCACATGATCACAACAGGTTCCATTTCCTGTGGTGCAGATATTGCATTGCACATTATTTCCGTACTCCTGTTTATCGTAAATTTGACCATTTTCATCATAAAACGTTTGTGAACGCTAGGGAAAAATGGGTAGGCTATGGATAGAAATAAAAAACAACAACACACAATTATTGTATATTCGTACATGTAAATGTATAAATGTCTTCTAAACTACTGTAAAATCTCATATTTTCCTGGGGTCAATTTTTCGAGGTTTGAGGAAATATATTGGTTTGTGGAGATTTTATTTCGTGGTAAGGTAATTATTTGTAGTAATTCATGTGTAATTTTACACTTCCTGGTGGTCATGAATTCGTGGGTCTCTCCATGCCTCGAAAACAACGAAAATTAAACACCCACGAAAATTGGTGATTTCACAGGATGTGTTTAGATGAATTCCATAGACCATAAGTATTTTAATAAGGAAACGTTTGTGAACGCTAGGAAATAATGGTTCATTAAACAAAATAAAACGACTAAAAAATGAAAAAAACAAAAACAAAACTATAGTATACACGTAAATGTCTTTAAAACTATGCTCTCAAAATTACCATAAGTGACTTACATGAAACAGCTCATACTTACATGTGACATTAAGGTATGGGTTTTGTATGGCGTCATTAGACATACATTTATAAACCTCATCATCTTTAAATGTTGTATTTCTTATGTAAAGCTCTTTTCCACCATGACGGATACTATATTTATGATCCTCTACGATATGAGATCCGTTTCTAGTCTGCCATGTTACTCCCAATACAGGACTTAAAAAAATTTTT